GGTGGGAAACCAAATTTTGGCATTAATAGCATTAATGGCAAAATTTGTTGTCTCCCTCGATATAAAACTTTATGTGTCTCGTGAGTTTTCAAAATTCTTTTAGTTTCCGAAAAATTCAGGATGTTTCATTTTAAATGGAACACTCTATATATCATTATAATATAATTTAATATACAATACTATTGTAAATTAAAAATAATTTAGGTTTTTAGATTGCCTTCTGTTTTCGTTATCTGATTCCCTTACAAGGAACCAAATATAATCCCCCATAATTCTTTCATTCCAAAAGCCCTGATAGCGCCGTTCCATGGATTTTATTCCTTGATGAAACCTTTCACCATGGTCATCACTCAGGTCACCAAGATTTTTGGGAAAAAAATGTAAGTGGGAATGGGCATATTTTAATGATTTTTGCTTCTTTTTGGTAAAATAGTAAATACTTAATTCTAATTTTGTCCAAAAAATTGACTTTTTCTCGATATTTGGCCCCATTGCACCTAAACTTATTGACTAATTGGGCATTTATACAATTACATTTGTTATTATGTTAATTAGATTTAATTTGACATCTGTTGTAATCAAATTGGCCATTTCAAACTCGAGATATATCCCAAATAGTAAAGCCGGCATCGAAAAATCAAAGACAATTTTTTATTTGGAAAATCTTGCCATAAAAAAAATTTTTATTGTCATTTTCGAGTTTAGCAGGCCAAAATACATCAGAAAAAAATAGTCGCACTCAAGGTACATTTTGACTGTAAACCAGTGTTATTAGCTATAAAGAGGAAACCAACGATCCGCGACCCGCTAGACCAACAATAGTCAATCAAAAATCAATTCAGAGATTCGACTTGTCTCAATTGAACTCAAAATGACTCTGGGCTCGTTTCGTTCGCTCAGCTTATCGCCAAGCGGTTTCCCTTAAAAAAACATTTCACCCCTCCTAACATATTTTCTACGTCTTAAAGAACTATAACTAATTTGTCTAGACAAATTCACATAAATCATATCAACTAAAATAAATGTATCGTATTAGTGTTAGACTTAATCATAAACACCCAATACGAGGAAAATGACATTCTCCACATGCTTGGGACTTTTTGTTTAGCCTAAACATCGTCACACAAATCTTATCAACAAAAATAAACAAAAGGGTGAGAAAGAATCATGAGCGTACACCAATAATTAATAAAGGCGCCGACACGGCCATTCTGACTAGTGCACGTCCTCGGGCACTCAATGGTCATCTGGAACGCAAAAGTCTAAAGCCTAAGCCTACATTGTCGCTACATCCGCTCGTCCATCCTGACTAACAAAGAATAATGCAATACAACGCGATATTGTTATTTTCAATATGATTAATCAATAAAAAAATAAAAATTTTAGGAGTTAACCAAGCTAAAAATCATAAACCATCAAGAACATTGCAGTCTGGTGCTTCCACACCCCATTCAGTAGCAAACTGTTTACCATCATGTAAACCACACTGTTAACCATCATGTAAACTACAATAACACAGTAAGACTCTTCTTACTAGTCAACTAAACTAGGCCACATGCCTCTTCTAGTAACTCCTTTACTAGGACTCTAAACTAGGCCACATGCCTCTTCTAGTAACTCCTTTACTAGGACTCTAAACTAGGCCACATGCCTCTTCTAGTAACTCTTTTACTAGGACTCTAAACTAGGCCACATGCCTCTTCTAGTAACTATTTTACTAGTCAACTACTGCAATGTTCAATCAGATAACTACTATTAATTAATAAAAAAATAAAAAATTAAAAGAAAGCATTAGTGGATTCCCTTTAGCAGGATATTACCTATTTCTCTATTGTAATACTCGCCGACACAGGCTCATCCTGTTCATTTTCAGATTCTGACTCACTTAGAACTTCACCTTGCCCTTCAGGTACATTAATAAGCTGATCATGAGCAAATTTAAAAACACTACTTTTACCCTTATTGATAGGTTTAATAACTTCATAACGATCATTTTCTAAAATCTTAGTGATTTTAAATGGACCTCGAAATTTACGATCTAATTTAGAAATCATTCTTTCATTTATTTTACTAAATACAAAATCTCCGACTGAGAAGGGCCTAATAATAGCTTTTCCTACGTTTTTTCTTTTGGCATCATTATTTGATAATTTTTCGATATTTTTGCATGCTATATCGCGAATTTCGGAGAGCGATGGCGATTTCGCGATTGTATTATTAATGTGGCAAATTTTTTGTAAGTCTAAAGAGCATATTAATATGCCAAATAAAAGTTCTGCAGGACTAAACCCAGTAATTTTATGTTTTGTGCTATTAAGTGATAATTGAACTTCACCCAAACTATCCTGCCAGCTTTGGTCATTTTCAGATTCAACGCACGTCAAAGTATTTTTTAAGGTTTGCATAACTCTTTCAACCTGTCCGTTAGCCCTACTAGTGCTATGTGCAATAAAATGTAATTCTATATTGAATTTGCAACAAAATGATCGAAACTCGCTACTAGAAAAACATTTGCCTTGATCACAAATGATGAGTAGAGGAGCCCCAAACAGATTAGTAGATTTTTTTAAACAATTTACAGCTGTTTCAGCAGTAAGAGAATGAATACGATATAACAATAAAAATTTAGTAAATGCGTCAATTATTACAAATACGTATTCTTTAGTGTCACTTTTGCCAGATAATTTACCAGAAATGTCAACGTGAATAGTATGCCAGGGTTGAGAAACTTTTGGAATGGGATGTATTTGAATTTGTGACTTACCCGATTTATTTTTTGATGTTTTACAAATTAAACACTTTTCAACAAATTTTCTTACCCATTTAGACATTTTGTGAAACCAGTAAAATTCATAAATTTTCTCTAAAGTTTTCTCCCACCCCAAATGTTTTAAATTAGTGTGAACATGATTTATTACGGACCAAATCATTGATTTGGGTACTACAGGTAAACAAAGTGAACAATTATTTCTCTCTATTTTTCTGAACAAAATATTGTTTCGAATATCATATGTTTTTGCAATATTAGGGTCGAGAACGTTGCTCTTTAGATCGGCAATAAGTTTTAAAAGGCTGTCATCGCGTTGTTGAGCTACTAGCAACCAGTCTTTTTGTAATTCGATATTTTGTATAATGTTAAGGGGTGTAGAATTTTTATCTTTCGGTGCACTCGGATTTTGAACCTGATTATCTAAATTAGGGGAATTATGATTACGTGACAAGAAATCAGCATGTTTCATTCGTTTTCCTTCACGATACACAATATCAAAGTCAAATGATTGTAAAAATGCCCACCAGCGATGTGCACGAGGCGTAAGATCATGTTTTGTACGTGAAGACTTAAGCGAATTACAGTCTGTAAAAACTGTAAAATGATTTCCCAATAAGAAGTGTCGAAAATGCTTGACAGCATTAACAACGGCTAATGTTTCGAGTTCGTAAGAGTGGTACCTAGACTCGGGGCCAGATGTTCGTTTACTAAAATATGCGACAGGGTGATTTTTATTATCTTTCTTTTGAAGCAATACCGCACCGTAACCTTCAGAACTAGCGTCCGTATGAAGTTCGATGGGCAGGTCAGGATTAAAAATTATTAGAACTGGTTCGGAAGTTAAGTGAGTAATTATTTTATCACGAGCCTGGTCATGTTTTGAAAGCCACTGGATTTTTTTAGAAGACTCAGTGGTTAATTTATATAACGGAGCAGCTATTATTGAAAAATTTGGAATAAATTGACGAAAATAGGATGCCAAACCAAGCAATTGACGAACCTGCTTGGGTGTTTTAGGTATAGGCGAGTTAACTAGGGCTATTGTTTTGTTTGAATTAGGTCGTACCTCTCCTGCCTTAATGGAAAAACCCAAATATTCAACTTCCGTCTTTAAAAATTTGCATTTATTTATATTAAATGAAAACCCAGCTTTAACTAAAGTCTTAATTACAATATCTAGACGTTCCAGTCCTTCTGCGACTGAAGATGAAGGTATTAAAATATCGTCAATATAAACAATAGCAAAAGTATTTCGTAAATCACCTAAAGCTTTATCAATAGTTCTTTGATATACAGCAGGGGCATTGGTGAGCCCAAATGGCATTGTAAGATATTCATACTGCCCGTCCGGGGTAAAGAAAGCAGTCTTTTCTATTGAATCTGGTTTAACAGGGATTTGATGAAATCCTGAAGCCATATCAAGAGACGAAAAATAGAATGAATTATTTAATCGGTTTATTTGGTACTTATAAGTGGTAACGGATACTTTTGAGGGACAGTATTACAATTTAGTTCGCGAAAGTCTACACACAAGCGATCTGTACCATTTTTTTTCTTTACTAGAATCATAGGACTAGAAAAAGGTAAACAACTAGGTCTTATTATGTTCGCTTTAAGTAACTCATCAATTTGGCATCTAACTATTTCCCGTTCAACAGGGGCCAATCGGTAAGGCCGCCTCTGTACGATTTTATTGGGATCTTTTAAACGAATTTCCAAACTGCCTGTATTTACAGTCCCAGTTGGAACACCTGATACAAAACTTTTTTTGTATTTTAACAATAGTTGAATTAAAGTTTGTCTTTCATTTTTGTACAAATCTGTATTAATGTTATCAAAATTCGTGTTTTCTTTTTCGCAAACTTGAATATTTAATTCACGACTAAAAGATAACCCCTTTGAGTCTAAACGAGCAGCAATATTTAATTTAATCAAATCATTTCCTATAATAATATTGGGCGACATAAAATCGTCTGGCACCACAAAAAATAAAATCTCAACTAATATTTTCTGAATCTCAATCACAGTTAAAATTTGATTACTACATAGTGAAGAGCCATCACTAACACCCTTCAAAGTTGTTAAATTGCTTAAACGTTTACCATTAAATTTACATGCAATATGTTCTTTCAAAAGAGAACAGTCTGAACCTGTGTCAAATAAAAAAGGAAAGGTCTCACCAGATCTAATCTTCAAATGACCTACGGGCAAGGACTCCTTCTGGCAAACATTAATCCTTTTCTCTTAAATTCTTCGTTTGCCGCCCGAAGATGGACAGTCCGGAGAAATGTCCTAGCTTGCCACACTTGAAACAAGTAACCTCCCTGTCAGTCTTCTTGCTTCGGAAAGGGACACTTGCAGATGGGCTTCTACAATCAGCAGCCTTGTGTCCTGCCTTTCCGCACGTAAAACAATTTACAGGACGCTTATGGAACCTTTCATTTTTAGAGGGCAGAGACAAAGCTTGGCGCTTCGATCCAGTATGGTGACTGGAGGGAAATATGGCCGAACGTTTGCCTAATCGCCCTTGTAACATGGTGCACATACTTTTTGCATCCACTGGTTTATCAGTTGTATAGCGTTTCCGTACGTAGTCATCCCGGGTAGACCCAAAGTAGCAAGCTACCGTTACGGCAAACGATTCGTCGCTTTCTCTATTTTTTAATAGTGACAAAATGTTCCTCATCGAAAATAGCATTTCGTCAATTAATGGCACGTCATGTGAAATATTTTTCTTGCCGTTAATTGCCTCAGAAAAAACTTCCAAAGAATCTACTGGTCTTGCAAAAACTGCTAAGAACTCTGCTTTTAATTCACTCCACTCCTTTTCTGATGGCTTAGCGGATACAAGCCAATTTGCTGCTTCCCCTTTTAGTGCTTGAGATAAGGAGATTATTAATTCCATAGCATCGGGATTTCTTTTTGCTACCCATAAATCCACAATTGCTGCCCAGCCTTCGGCATCTGAAAACCTTGATGTTGGGTCAAATATTGGCAAGCGAGTTGCATTGGCGGGCACTGCTTTTGGCAGACTTGAGGTCGCCAGCATTATCCGTTCAAGCCTTTTAATTCTTTCGAGGCTAAGGTCATCATTCGTCACTTCACAAACTGCGTGATTTTTGTCACTCGTCACTTCACAAACTGCGTGATTTTCGTCACTTTCGCTGTCCGAATATTGCACTAGCAGCCCTGATCCCGCACTTCTGATGTCAGAGATTAACGAGGGCAACTGAGGGTTAGGCTGCCTAGACATTTTAAAAGAATGCACGACACTGGTTTTTAATATAAAGTTATTTAATAAAAAAACGTAGTCAGATTAATCTGCACAGAACACAAAATTAATAATAATCGTCCCAAACTAATTATTAGCTATAAAAAGGAAACCAACGATCCGCGACCCGCTAGACCAACAATAGTCAATCAAAAATCAATTCAGAGATTCGACTTGTCTCAATCGAACTCAAAATGACTCTGGCCTCGTTTCGTTCGCTCAGCTTATCGCCAAGCGGTTTCCCTTAAAAAAACATTTCACCCCTCCTAACATATTTTCTACGTCTTAAAGAACTATAACTAATTTGTCTAGACAAATTCACATAAATCATATCAACTAAAATAAATGTATCGTATTAGTGTTAGACTTAATCATAAACACCCAATACGAGGAAAATGGCATTCTCCACATGCTTGGGACTTTTTGTTTAGCCTAAACATCGTCACACAAATCTTATCAACAAAAATAAACAAAAGGGTGAGAAAGAATCATGAGCGTACACCAATAATTAATAAAGGCGCCGACATATATATATATATATACATATATTTAATAATAATAATAAATAAAAATAAATAATACGTTTATTTAGCTAAAGCTATTATAAAACAGTCAATAATTATATTAAAAATAATATAATAATAAATTTAATATCTCCAAAACCGTTTAAGAAAGAAAAGTAAAATTTTGGGAATTGATCAAACTTTTTATGGCCAATAAGATGTAATAAAAACAATTTCAAAATTTCCATGAGGGGTGGACCCCTCAAGGAATTTTTAAAATTGTTATTATTACATCTTATTGTCCATAAAAAGTTTGATCAATTTCCAAAATTTCACTTTTCTATCTTAAACGGTTTTGGAGATATTAAATAAAAACCATTTTCAGGGGCTCCTCTTTCGGGGTAGATTTCTTAAAAAGGGTAATTTCAAACACCATTTTTAAACACCCTGTCACTTATTAAATGAAACTGTCACCTATCTTGAATAACTTTTCCTAAACAAGGCCATGGCCTACGCTGAATCTTTTTTATCTAGTTTCATAATGAATTCTTATGCCATGTAAGCTAATTTTCAAATCGAATTTAAGCGAAAACGGTGCATGATATGAAAGTTAAACAGGATGACCTTTTTTATATATAAAACTCCAAAATTTTATAATCTGATATCAAATCCTTGCACAAGACACGTACAAAAAAGTTGAGGTGGTTTTAACCCCTACTCCCTATCTATCTGACCACCCATCATTGAAATTTTGAAATTGTTAATATTACATCTTATTGGCCATAAAAAGTTTGATCAATTTTCAAAATTTCAGTTTTCTATCTTGAACGGTTTTGGAGATATTAAATAAAAACCATTCTCAGGGGCTCCTCTTTCGGGGACTGTATCTCCCTTAGGAAGCATTTCTTGACCTATGTTTAGAGGAATTTTTTTTTATATTTTTATACGTAGAATATTCTGTTAAAGTATTGCACGCTAATTATGGGACACCCTGTATATATATATATATATATATATATTGAACTTATAAAATAAGATATACACTTTTTTTTCAAAAGTCGCCACATTATCAACCCATTTTAATCTTGATATAATTAGTCGAATCGGTGTTTTCCGGGCCGCGTTGCTTGGACTTGGACATCATTCACAATAATCAAACACTGATTCTCGACAATTAGTACATTTAATTACGAATATCTAACTAGACAAAACGATAGACGCTAAAGATTATACGCACAAAGTAAATTAAAGTATGAAGGGTTTACAGGCGCCTTTACCGTCTTATTGCCCGATTAAAAATGCCCATCAAACCCCCTCGAGGGTTAGTACATATCCACCTTTTTGTATCTTAATCTCCACGTTCCCATGAGACCGTGGCTACGTTTGGTGATCGTTAGTCATCACCTTCACTAATGCATCCTTATCGGAACAAGCGACAAGCAAGAAACTTCCATTATTTTCAGGGGCATAAGCAAAGACCACTTTAAAAAATGACATTTTGATGAAAATTTGCAAAAACTAAACCTGAACCGATATTTACGTTCGGGGCATGTTTTCTTTATAATTTTGACCTCCTGATTGTGATTCAGTTGTCAAATTTAAGTTTCAGATGAAACCAAAATCACCAAGAATCAAAATTCGAAAACAATTTCCGGCTGCTGGCCTGTTTCTTCCATATTTATGATTAAAATGCAATTTGGGGATTCTTTTGGGATTTTTTGGGCGAAATTACTGCAATTTGTTTGAGTGGTTAGGATAATGTTACATAAGTTACATTTACATTGAGCTCTTTTAAATGGTATGGATGATGTTTTAAAAGAAATTGACCATAGTAAAACATCTATTTTAATACTTTTAGATTATTTGAAAGGCTTCCATACAATAAACCAAAACCTACTTTTTTCTATTATTCATTTTATTTTATTCTCGGTGGAAGCTAGAAAACGTATTAAAAACTATTTAAGCTTTTTAAAACAAACAAAGGTAAAGATTTTGTAGTTTGCATTGTTTCTTAGGGTTTAATATTTGGTCCCTTGTTATTTTGTTTGAAGTAAACATTATTGAGGTTCTACTTGTACCACCCGAAGAAGTACTACTACCGTAACTACAAAACTAATTCTTAATGTTTTTAACTAAATGATCTTTTTTCCTGTATTACCTCATATAAGGTAGTACAATATATATGGTAGATACGGAAATTTGGCTTAGAATGGCAGTACACGTACAAATTTAAATAAAATTTACAAGAAAAACTGGATGCCGAAGGCAATGGATTTAACGAATTTTGCAGTTAAGCAAAATAAAAAATAAAAAAGTTTAGTGTTCAAATCCAAGTTTTGAACAATTCAAATTTCATTTGTTATTATTTATAACAAAAATACTTAATGGAATATCAGACATTTGTGGCATAAAACTGTTGCAAGGTCAATGTCAATGTACTCGAGGCTCATTGATCCGAAAATTGGTGCATACATATTAAAAATATGCTTGAAGCTTTCCACAATGCCTGAACGAAGTTTAAGTCACATAAAAATGCCGCCAAAAACTGATTGCAGTTTCTTGTTCGGGGCCCTTTGGTGACTTAAAAATGATATTTACCAAAAACCTAGCTGCTCCTCTTTTCGAAATTTTTTGAAAATACATGTTTTTTTTAAACTTTTTGTTTATATCAAAGTCTACCTGTGACAGAGTAAACATTTGTACACCGATTTTTATAAAATTAGTGTATATTATTTAGGAGACTTAAAGAATACTGTTCACATCATTTGATATATACAGGGTGAGCCAAAAATCGCTTATTTTTAATAAAGCAAAAGGGTAAATTCATGATTTTGGCATTTGGTGTTATAACACGCAAAAAAGATTTATCCCCATTTTTTTAGATATTTCTACGTTTATCATGTTACGAAATGGCATTCTTGTTAACCTTTTATAAAAAAATGGATTTTTAATAAAATTAAATAAAATAACGCTTAGAGAATATTTAAAATGTTGTTTAATTTAGGCTTTTTAGTAGTTTTCAATTTTGAACGAAAAACTGGTTAAAGTTTTTTGATCGGCACTCTTTGGAGATTTAAAAACGATATTTACCAAAATTCAAACTTTTTTTTTAAATTTGTTAAAAAAAAATTTTTAATAATTTGTTTATCGCAAAGTCTACCTTTGCCAGAGTACACATTGGTACACCGATTTTTATTGATTGCAGTTTCTTGTTCGGGACATTTTGGTAACTTTAAAATGATATTTACCAAAATCCTAGCTGCTCCTCTTTCCGAAATTTTTTGAAATCTCTTAATTTTTTTTTTAATTTATCTTACCTTTGAGTACACATTTGTACACGGATTTTTATAATATTGGAGTGTATTGTTAACGAGACTTGGAGAATACTGTTTTCATACTGAGCACATCATTAGATTTATACAGAGTTAGCCAAAAATCACTTTTTTATATAGTAAAAAGCATAATGCACAAAAAAGATTTATCTCCCAAAAATGTTATTTTATTTAATTTTATTCAAAATCAATTTTTTTTATAAAGTCTTAATAAAAATCCCATTTGGTAGCCTGATAAACATAAAAATATCTAAAAAAACATGGGTGGGTATATATCTTTTTTGCGTGTTATGCCAAAATCATGACGTTACGCTTTTGCTTTATTAAAAGAAGCGATTTTTGGCTAACCCTGTTTATATTAAATGATGTGCACAGTATAAAAAAGTATTCTCCAAATCTCCTTAACAATATACTAAAAATCTGTGTGTGTACAAATGTGTCCTCTGTCAAAGGTAGACTTTATGATAAACAAAAATTAAAAAAAAAATCATGAATTTTCAAAAAAATTCGAAAAGAGGAGCAGCTAGGATTTTGGTAAATATCATTTTTAAGTCACCAAAGGGTCCCGAATAAGAAACTGCAATCAGTGTTTGGCAGCATTTTTATGTTACTTAAACTTCGTTCAGGCACACTGTGATCGGTAGTTAGTATGTCATTGAAATTACATTTTCTTCTTTGCCATATCAAAAAATTCGCCGAACCATTGCCAGCCAAATCTGATGAGCAACAGCGGAAAAAAGCTTATTAGGGCATATATGGTGGAATTTACAAGAAGAAAAATTAAATAAAGAAAACACTT